TGCTGCTGCTGTGCCAGCTGTGATACCCTAGGGCGGATGACCCACAGGTCGAGCTGCTTCTGCACTCCTTTCAGGTTCATGCAGCCAAGGTTGCGTGCCGACACACCGCGCGCTTCCATCGCCCTCTGAGACGCCTCCCACACCGCCCCACTGACCAGCATCTGCGACGGGATGACGACGGAATGACGACGGAATGAGAGCCCCCGTGGAGGAAGATGAAAACCATGCAAGGGTGGAGGGGGAAGAGTAAATCCAAACTAAGGGTAGAGTGGTAGGACCCGACAGGGCACGTTAGTGTATCACTACACCCACCCCTACTACCACACCCACCCACCGTGGCTGCCTTGGCCTTGGCTGCGATCCTGGCAGCGCGGTTGAGGGGCTTCCCCACGTAGTCCAAACGACCCGTGCGGGGAACCAGGCGAACCATGGCAGCACCGACATCCACTCCAATCCGTATCTTCAACCCGCGGCTGAGCAGTACATCCCCTGCGTGCCGTACCGTACAGCACGGAGCATGTTGGTCATAGCGCGCACATCGTACGTATTGCAGTGCAGTAAACTATCATCGCAGATAGACGGCCCACACCACACCACAGCAGTGTAGCAGAGTGCAACGCCGGACATAAATCCGGACATGCAGCCGGGCATACAGCATGGTTCGTCGATTAGGTGTATCCTAAACAGGATACATGCGGGCATACCCCAACTCACTTAGGATTCAAGTTTTCAAATTAGGATCGGTTGGTTGTTTTGTGAACACATGCAAATAGTAGCAGCAGTGCGTCAGCGGGAACGCCATCTATCCGATGCTTCAGCACCACACAGGCCCCCACCGTCACGCTTTTCACGAAACGCGCTGACTCTGCTGCCACAACCGAATTGCCGTTCATGGCCCCCCTCTCCCCTTCCCCCCCCCCAACACACACACACACACACACACGCACACACACAGTCACTCACTCATACACACGCAGCCCCGGTCTCTCGCACCCACCTTCCCACACCTCCTCCGTGAGCTCGTGTTCCAGAAGCCCCTCGGGCCAGGCCGCCGCCAACATGGCCTCCAGCATGCCTAGCCCCCACAGCACCGCATTCTCGGCGGACCCGAACACGAGAACCCAGTGACCGCTGTCCGCGGAAGAAGCAACCACATAGCCGTCGTACGTCCGTGCGAGCCCTTGCGCCATGCCACGACACATATCTAAGGCTTCTCGGACGATGCCCGCGGAGGTTGCAGCAGCAGTGGTTGCGGCAGAAACGCCGCCGCTGCTCCGCTGCGCCGACATCGGCATCGGCGGCAGTGGCCGACAAGCGGCCAAACTGGCACGGTTTGTCGACGCCGCTACAGACGCTGCCGCCGATGCCGCAGCGTTCGCGGCGGCCCGCATCATCCTGGACTGTAGGACCTTCTCCCACGCCAGCAGCGCCTCCACTCCCACCACGTTGCAAAACACAGGCGCTACCACTCCCGCAGGGGCGGACAGGCACCCAGGTACGACTTCTCGTGCCGTACGTACGGGAGATGGTAGTACGGCAAGACGGGCAAACAGGGGGCCCGACACTGCGACGTACAGCTCTCGGGCGGGCAGCATGAGCAGCTTTCCGGTGCCGCCGGCAGCACCGCCACCGCTGATGGATGCCGTACTGTTATCGGTCCCTGCTTGACATTTGTAATGGACGCACGTGGTGGGAGGGGGTGTATGCAGCGGGTGTAGGGGCGTACGAATGCACGGGTGCACAGCGGACAGGTGTGAGCCGTACACACGGGGGCGGCACGTACGGCGCCTCTTCATTAGGCTAACATGCTTTCAAGCCACCTTCACCTCGCTGTGCAAGCCTTTCTGTCTGTCTATCTGTATGTATGTATGTATGCATGTGTGTATGCATTCTGGTATGCATTCTGGTATGCATTCTGGTACGCACACGCATGGCTTCCACATGTTGGCAGCCCACGTAACCACATGTTCGCATATATCCATGTCTTGAGAACAAGCAAGGGAACAAGAGTTTTGAGGAAACAGTGGAGTACGTCGGGGAAAAGGGGGAAAGAGAAAGACAAGTGAAGCAGCAAGAATGACAGACTCCTTTTGAAACCTTTTCCTAAGAAAGGCAAAGGCTTACCGCCACGGCCGTTTGGCAGTTTGATGACGTGTCGTCCTATGTGCAGTAGCATGGGTGCCGCCGCGCCGGCTCCGGCCAGGCTGGCGGCAGCGGTGGCGGCGGCGGCGGCGGCGTCGAGGTCGCGGCTGCCGGTGGCCGCCGCGCCGCTGGCGACTGCCATGCCTGTGGCTGTGGCGCCACGCAGCCTGTGCTGGTAGGCGTGGAAGGCGGATTCGCTGAGAACCACCACGCCACCCTGCGGGCGGACCATGGGCCCATCAGTGCCGCATCAGTGCGTCTACCGGTACGTGCACATTTTAAAGTTGGGCATATTAGGATGGCGATGGCGCTTGGCAGTAGCTTCAACTAGGGGTACTGTTGGCAGTAGCTTTTAGTAGGGGTTGTGTTGTCAGTAGCATAATTTCGGAGAAACGTAGAAGTTGTGTATGTGTGCGGAGAAGTTGGGGAGAAGAAGTTTCAACTAGCGGACTGTCCAGGTATTGTATATCTCCCCAACGTTGCCGCGCTGCAGCGGTCACAAGAGCCACAGCCGACCCGTGTCATTGCACCCACCATCGCGACGTCACTGATCTCTTTGCAGGTGGCGAGGAAATCGCCGACGTACGAAACACTCGTGGCTCCGTCATCCTTTTGGAGGGAAATTACCTGCGTTTTAATTTTTTGCCATGTGGACTCTGGAATCTATTTGGCAAGCAAGAGGAGTATGAAAAACTGCTTGGGTAAATAATATTTGGGTAATAAGGGTGGTACCGTGGCAAACAAGAGTATGAATATTAGGGAGCTTGATGAAAAGTGGTGCTGTACATGTATGATCATATGCACCTGGATAACGTAAGCAAGTTCTCTGGAATCGCCCAACATGGCAGAGGGAACAAGGCCCGGACGCTGTCGTAACTCTGACAAAACCGCCTTTTTTGGATGGATGCATGCGATTAGACGCACTAAGTGCCGTATAGCCCGAAGCCGCCGGCGGCGCACCTCAGGCGTCTGCGCGCCGGAGTGCAGTCCCATCCGTACTCGCAAGCCACGAAAGATCAGCAAGGGCTCCGGAACCGTTGCAATCGCCGTCACCCCTGCCAAGGCGTTCTCCGGCGCAGCAAATCCGCCCGCTGACCCCGCCGTCACCGCCGTCACCGCCGCCACAGCGGCCGTACTGCAGTTGCTGCTGTGTCGATCGCGACCCTCCTGCTGCTCGCCGCCCAAAGCTTCACACTCCGTTCTTGCCCGAAGCAACATTTCCGCCACCTCATTCAAAGGAAGCAGCTCGTACAGCGTCTGCAGTACAGACAAAACCGTCATGGCACGCGGCGGCGGAGCCGGCACCGCCACTGCTACAGCTTCCTCCCCTGCATTGGCGGCGGCTTGAAAGGCAGCGGCGGATGTTTGGCTGATCGAACCAGCGTTCGTGCAATTGGAAATGGCTGTAGCAGCCAAATTAAGATCGCACCATAGGCTATCAAAACGGCCCTGCCGCCGCACCCTGATGGTTGCACCGCCGCCGCCGCCGCCGCCGCCGCCGCCAGTGACATCCATGCCGGTGTCATCGACGGCGGTGGCGGCTGCGGTGGCGGCAGATGTCGCCGTCGCGCAGGAGTTGGCCTCTGAGCCTGCTCGTAAGCCCCACATCGTACTTTCCGGTTGTACGGCAAGATTCATCGAATCGGAGCTGCGGAGTGGCTGTGGCGCCAGTGCTGCTGCAGCGGCGGCGGCGGTTGCGGCGGCAGCGGCAGTATCGTTGCTGCCGCCGCCTTCATGGTCTAGTGTCCTCGCCATGCCCCTGCCTTCGCCTCTGTACTGCACGGCCGTTACTGATGCCGCCGCTGACACTGATGTAAGTGACGGCGGTGATAGCATCGATGGCGGCGGCGGCGGCAGTTTCGTAAGTGGCATCGTTATCAGCCGCGCCAGCTGCAGCTGCGTCCGCAGCCGCTGTGGTGATGAAGGCGGCGATGATTGCTGCTGCTGCTGCTGCTGCTGCTGCTGTAATTGTACATCCTGTGTTTGCCTTACAAATTGGCTGACGTTGTCTCCGGATGATGCTGCATCCGCCGCTGCCGCCTTCCCGCGGCTCCGTAACCAACCAGCAAAAAGACGTCGAGGCAACGACGCTAACGAAATTGACAATGCCGTAGAGCCGGTGGTGGTGGTTGTGGTTGTGGTTGTGGCGGCGGCTGCGGATGCGCTGGAAGAGAGCCGTTGTCGGCTGGCGGGAAGGCTTCTGCTGCGCGCGGCACGGGCAGCGATTGCCGTACTGTCACTGTTCCAGGACGGCAGCCCGGCGGCGGTGAATTGGGCTGGCGGCGGAGCACTGGCGGCTGGGGCCAACGCCCTCGGCGTCGCTGGCGGCGACGACGACGGCGGCGGCGCCGGGGAGGGCTGTAGCAGCGGCGGCGGCTGTGGCGGCAAGGGCGGCGGAGCCGCTGCCGCGTGCGCATCCTCCCAAGTGACCAGACTTTTCCAGTCCCCAATCACCGTCCTAACTCCCCCATCCTCCTCATCATCATCATCGTCCTCGTCTAGCTGACCACCTGCAGCAGCATCGTGGCGGTCGCCCTGGCGATGGTGGGTCTTACGGACACATGACGGCCCCGAATCCGTGTTGAGTACGGCCGTCTGCGACCCAGTGAAGGGCAATTCGGGCTTGCGCACCCATCCCCGAGAGCTGCGTCGGCCCCTTGGCGGCCCTCGTACGGCAGCGGCGGCGGCGGCGGCGGCGGAGCCTGTGCTCGCGGCGGCGCCAGTAGCGGCTGAACTGACGCTAGCATCATAATTATTGCCTACTAGGGAAGCCTTGGCGCTACGCCTCCTAGGCAGCGAAGACAACCATTCGAAGGCAGTGCGTACGGCATCTCGAGGGGCGACAGCAGCTGTAGCAGCAGCAGCAGCAGCAGCAGCAGCAGACGCAGCAGCGACGGCGGTGGAGAAGGCGCCACCGTCGGACGAAGAGGAAATGGAAGTGATAAGCGGGTGTTGTACGACATTGACAACCGCACGGGTCTCTGCGGGTGTTGGTGCGATAGACCCGCGGTTCGTTTGGCTCACGCCAACAGCCCCAGCGGGCGTTGTGGAGCTCCAGCCAGGCAGGCTGTCGACCTCAATCACCACCTGCGCCGGCGGGCTCTCGTACTGCCGTACAAGTAATAGTTGTACGGCAATGCGGCATCGGGCAGAGGAGGCAGAGCGTATGGGAGTTCAGGAAGTCGCACGACGGCGCACCGATGTGTATATTTACACACATACAGACATACCAGCGCGAGTAAGCAGAGTTGAAAATACCCGTGTGCTCCGTAGGGTGGTCCAGGGAGGCGAAGCGAACATGGAAAGAGAACCCGTAACGCTCGCAGCTAACCCCGCTCCTCCGCAGTACAGTACACGTAGTGCCGCGCCAGATATATTTTTTCTCCATACAATACAACCGTAGGAATTTCCTCCGTGGCTTTAAGGCGTTGTAGTATTTCCCTTGGGCCTTCGGCTCGTATGGTTAGTCTTACAGGTATGGGGTCACGCACCCCCAACCATGTAACACACACAATACAACCGTAGCCTCGACAAAGCATGTGCGTACGGAAGACATTAGACGCTAAACGTGTCAAACACGACGTGACACTAAAATGATACGACAGTGGCTTAGCACCAACCTACCTGTCATGCCATATGAATTAGCACTTCACAGTGCCTGTGGCGGCCCTATTGCCGTACGATTATTAGTAATGCGCTACTGACAAACCAACATACTTACACCCACCTTAACCTCACGGGCACCGGTCCTTCGGGCGCCATCGGTAAGGCCCTTCAGGTCATTGCCGCCGCCGCCGCCGCCGCCGCCGCCACCGCCGCCGCCGCCGCTGTCCCCGCCAGCCCCTGTTTCGCCGCCACTGCCACGTCGGCATCCGTCGAAGCCGGTTGCCGCTGCCGTCGCCATCGCCGCCGACACCGCTGGTCCCAACGGCCGCTCCGCTACCCCCCCCGGATGTGCCTTCCCGGGGGCCATCTGCTGGCCCTTGGCACGACGTCCTAACGGAAGGCGATGAGTGATAGCGCTCCACGCCGCCGCCATCAACCGCCCCGACGGCGACGGTGACGGCGACGGTGACGGCGACGGTGACGGCGACGGTGACGGTGACGGCGGAGGCGGAGACAACGGCGGCTGGAAAGCGATGCTATCGATGGAGTTACCTAGCTGGCGATCAAAGGCCGGCCGCGTCGCCGCCTCCGCCGCCGCCTCCGCCAAAGGTAGGAGGCTGCCGCCGCCGCCGCCGTCGCCGTCACCGAGTTCAGCCGCGCCACAGCCGAGGGCGAGCATTGGCGCTGCAGACGGGTCTTGAAGCCCGTGCGAGCCCGGAGGGGGTCCTACGGCGACAGTCTGCAACCGCGGCCCGGTGAACTGACTACTTGATGAATTGTGTTCGTTATGGTAGTTGTGATAACTTTTCTGTTGGCGGTTATGGTAGTTATTGCCTGAGGAGGAAGCATGGTGGTTGATGGCGGTTGGTGCGGCGACGCCTGGGGAATCCCCGGAGATCATGCGCCCAAACGCACCCATGTCGACCCCCAGGGGGGATGCTGAGGCAGCCGCGGCGCCGACGGCGGAGGACCGCCTGCGATATGAGCTCAGTTTTTTGCAGGGTTCTGAATGCCAGCGGAGGAAGCGAGCTAGATGGGAGCTGGCAGTTCCAGCCGGCGGCCCGGGCATCCTTTCGCCTGTAGTAGCCACCGCCGCCGCCGCCGCCGCCGCTGCCGCCGCCGCTACGGCTGATGACGCTACGGCTGATGACGCTACAGCAGCTGGCATTGAGGCGGTAGCTGAGAGCCTGGGCATGCTTCTTCGCCAGCTGGTGGCTCCGCCGAAGACCGTGAAGTTGTCGGGTGCATGACCGCCGTTGGCAGCGACTGGCGCCAGCGGCGGCGATGGCCGTACGGCAACGGTCTGGTATCGGGAGGTCCGCCAAACAGAGGAGGCCGGGTGCTGCTGTTGCTGCTGCCACTGCTGCTGCTGTCGTCGTACAGTCGTACGGCAGGGGCGTTGCAGTACAACCCAGACTTCGCTGCCATCAGGCTGCTCCAGCAGTGACTGCGGCCAGTCGGCTTCTAGGAGGCCCATCTGGTACAACCGAACCCAACGGATTGTGGGTAAAGGGTGAAGGAAAATGGAACCAGTTTTTACGGTTGGGTTTTAGGGTTTTAATTTTAAGTTTTAGGATCTAGAGTTGAACGCAGGGAGGAGGTGCATTCGGCAGGCGAGGCCAGGCACGGCAGTCAGACAGCTGGCACGAACTGGACGGCGAGGTACTGGCCACCAGCTTCACCTCGCCCCCTATGCCCCCGTTGCCCCCGTTGTCCCCTATGACCCCGTTGCCCC